TAAGAGTTACAACCCTGAAGTTTGTCTGTTCCATTAAGGTACTCTCATTTTTTACCGACGCAATGTCTTGGTCCTCATATTTTGACCCACCCTATACTTCATTCGATGCTCTCCTCCCCTCTACTATGTAGTGATCCATACTTATATCCACGCGAGAAAGAAGTACATCCGGCTTTTGTGTTTGTTCAGGGGGAATTTTCTCAAAAATTGAAGTCTAGCTACATGGATTCTTAGACAGGCAAATATTCGGATAGTGTCGTGATGAATGATAAATTTCAGCTGGCTGAAGTGATTGTCAATGAGGTAAATCCTAAGTTGCAAAAACTCAAGCAAATGCTGATAGCAAGGGGACTCTCCGAATACGATATTGAATGGACCGTACAAAATCAAATTCTTCGAGTGGCAATCAAGCCAAAGAGGTAGGTCGAGCTTTGTGTCCAAAATTCCCAGGATTGTGGCTTTTTTATTGTTCATATTTGTCAATTTGTTTGCATTCAGCGCAACTGGGGTTATATCGCCGGTGAGGTCGATTGACAACATGCTTTGCATCGAGGTGAACGTCACCAAATTAGCACGAAGGGTAAAACGATCTGTGGTAAGTACTTCTCAGAACAGTTCTGGTTTGCTAGAAGAACTAGGTGGGAGCTTGACGCCTCTTTCAGTTGTACAGAATCTGAATCGTTTCAGTTGTCATCGGATATTGATGTGACTTGCCTGAATCCAGTGGCTAAATGTAAAGGACTCGCGTGCTCCTACTGTACAGACATCGATATCAATCCAGTTTCTTCAAGCGTACCTGGCGATGAATTCCACAACTGTATTCCTAAGTTCTGATTACTCATGTATTCGGATGTTATTTTCGCTTTTCCTTTGATAAAGTGGGCCAAAACCTGCGTGACGACTTTTTCGCTCATTCATTTCAAGAAAAGGCATGACCAAAGCAACAACCTCAAATGAGGTAGTGTTGATGAATCTATTCAACATAGCTTGTGGCTGGAATAGAGTCGTCCATGAGTATCATACACAGATGCGCCGTTCTCGCTCGGAAAACACTAAGCTTTGCAAAACGAGTTCATGGCGGCTAAAGTTAGCATACGGACGAGCTACCTCGTGCACACACCATGTAAGCAGCGTGATTACGGCATACCGGCTAGACCCATTCGCGCGGGCTAGCAGAGCCGTGGGGAGAACAAGCTCAGAAAACTCGTCCAGTCCCGCCCCTCCCTTGTTTCCAGGAAAAACGAAGTAATACATGTAAATGGTTGTGGTAATTTGTTTTGGATTTTTTGGACAGTTCGTCATCCAAAATTTCATTATCGATCGCTGTTGCACACTAATGCGTCTGAGGTCGCATCTTTGAAATCGGTGACACATTCAAAAATCTATAGGTCGAATTCCATCCAAGCAAAGGGGACTGTCTCTTCGTTTCTCGTGGCTTGCTGTCAGAAGGCGGAATTATTAGATTGTTCCAAAAGTAGTATCTTTTGTTTTTGAAACAAAAATTTGCTATCAAATTCTTGTCTTCACATAATATCACATAGACACCGTTCGAAGGCACAACCCAGGCAGAGGTCGTGTGAACGCTTCTCTTCGGTCTGTAGTATAGACCCCTAGAGGACAATCACAAATGTGGCGTTCTCGTGCACGGAAACCAACCGATAAGAGCGCGCTTGGGCCTTGCAAGCTGCCCAAGCTGCAGACTTTTTTCTCTTATCAGGCTGTTGTCTGGCGCTCTCTCATCTGTAGCGCTCTCTCGCCCCATACTCTCCTCTCCGCGCTTAGTCTCTCATTCCCTTAGCACAGCCGATTAGGAAGGTGAGTGAGCCCTTAACCTAAGCGTTTTCGACGGATTCTTTTCCTTTTTTCTTTACTGCCGGCCCACTTTCGCACCAATACATTCGCATTCGTGTGCAAGAGCCACACCAATGTGATCCTGGGGCATGCCTTTAGTTGTCTGTTCTACAAAACATGTTTCCATCCTGCACTCATTCCAAGCGCTTTGGTTTTAGGCACACGATTTGAGATCCAGGCGGAAATGGCCTAACATACACCTAGCTCTCATCATATTTTACCTTAGAAGAAATCGACGAATGGGATTTCCGCCTATCTAAAAAAAAGTTGTAGACCCTGCTAAATGTTCTATTAACAGCTAGCTACAGTCGTCAACAGTCAGAAATAGTGGAAGTATTGTCATGGATGAAGATGTGTCCGACCATTCGGCGATTCCCCAGTTCTAGGTATCCAGCGAAATGTGGGTTGGGCTAAGTACAAGTAGTCTGTAGAATGCAACCCTTCGATAGAGAGAACTAGCGGGAAAAGTCACGCGTCTCTTACATCTGCCTCGTCCTTAAGTTTTGTAGACCAGAGTAATTCGTTTGAAATTTATGAAAATTTAAAATCACGGGTTACACCCTTAATATGTTCTCAAGCAGAATTATTGTTGCTATGATCATGTCATCCATTTTCGTTTTTCTTTGTCAACTTCGTCGGGATTCTACCGATATAGTTGCATTCCGAGAACGATAATCTCAGAGTGCTGACTGAAATTCAAATCATCTTCAGCTATTTCACTTCTTTGCGAAACATTTTTCCAAAGAGGGGTGGTCGGAAATTTTTGACTATACGCAAGCGTGCTCTGCGATTTCACACAAAGGAGGACATCGAAGCTTGAAAGTCATCGGAGCTTGTGCACTACGGTTACAGAGAATGTAGCATCAAAGTGTCAACACAAGAAAGCAAGGAGGAATGACACCTGCTCTTTGATTGATGATACTTGCTGATGTTTAGTTATTTCTTTGTTTGTACTGGTGCATATGCGGATTCAACCGCATTTGTTGCTGGCACGGCCCAACTCATGCTTACCAGCTGGAGAAAGGCTGGAAGGATTGAAGCCTAAATTCTGGGCAGCTTACACGATATCTTTGTCGAGTATGAGCTGGCGACATTCACAAGTGAAACGACCCAACTGTACTGCTTATGGAAAAAGTCCTAACACTACGACTACACACCTTTCGCCTGGAATTACATAGGTTCGCAAGTTTTAGATGATATGGAAATCGCTGTTTAAAGGAAGTAATTTGATGGTTGTCAAAGAGATCTCGTAGACATTCACGGGTTGTGCTCACGCTGGAAACAAGTGAAAGTTCGTTTCTATCAAAACTTTGCAAATCTTTGAATTGAATCTTTGAATCGAAGCTTTCTTGCGAATCAAAGCAACGACTTCAGATCGAGTTCGAGGGGTAATGAAAGTGGGTTGTGCTTGAATGTATGCTATACGAAGTCATTACACGTTGACGACAACGCGCGTTTTGGCTATTTTGGCCGCGATGGACATGTGCGATTTTGCTAGCGCGGCGGCCGCGGGACACATGCGTCCTGCGCTGTCTGTCAAGGCGCGTTTTTTGGAGTCGCAATTGAAAAAGGCCCGAAACACAGTTAGCTGATTCAATTTAATAAAAGCGTTCAGAAAAGTAAAGTATTTAAGAAAGATTCACCGTGAACTAACGAATATTAGGGCGAAAAAGAGTGAGAATTGGTGGCAATATCAAGAATTTTTTCCTGTCATCAAACAAGGAAAGCTAAGAAAACTGAAACATTAGAAGGTGGTAATAAAGATAAAGCATTGAGCGATCTAGCGTACAATGCGAAGTCGTAATCTGATAGGAACAAAGTGTAAAAAGTGAAGCAATTCGAAGATGCTTTGAACAGGAGAGTCAAATATGAAGCGGCGAAAAATTGATTCAGCGACAACATATAAAACGAAGCACATTTCAACTTGTACTTTCTATAAAGTATTGAACTTATGCTGCATATTGGTATTTGACTCTTCCCTGAAAAATAACGCTGACAAGTTTCCGGAAAAGGAGTTTTGACTCGCCCAAGAGCCAATTTTTCCTCAAGACACAATTTCTTACCTAAGAACATAAACGCTGTGAACACAAGATTTGTCCTTTTCAAGGCTTGTCAAGATTACTCAGCATAGGAGTGTTTCAACTTAGCTCTTAGCGGAAAGTTGTCCATGCAACACATCGGTGTTCCCTCTCGACGACATTTCAAGGATCCTCTTTGTTTAGTTCAATTTTTCGTAAATTCGAGGAAATTTCCGTAATCTGCAACTTTTCTCTATCTGAACCATGCAGGCCTATTTTCCATGTTTCTGCAGATATGAATTTGTTTATAAAATTAACCCAAAACAGTGTTTTTTGCCTTGAATGGTGTATGTATTTCTTCACGACACTTTATAGGGATTCTATCAGCGAACTAACAATAGTCAAGAATTTTCTATTCGTAGAGTTTCGTATCCAATTGTTTTTTTTTTATTTACATACTCACCCACAAAGAAGTCGAATAGCTACGTTAAACCAAAGATTTCACAGGCTTTGGATAACCTTTGCAAAATTTGAGCTTACCTAACCCTTTTGCGGACCACATCGCTTATAGTTATGATAAAGCAGATTCTATCGATTGAGTACAAAAAAGCCAGGAAAAAGTTAGGTAAGGGCGAAAAAACTTCATTAGATGGGTGCAGGACACATACGTCCCGCGCTGTCCGACGTGGCCTACAAAATGCGGGACGTATGTGTCCTGCGCTGTCGTCAACGTGTTAAATGCAATATTAGAAACTACAAACA